CAACCCGGTCTGCTCGACGCCTACCCTTTCCTCTTCATGTTCATGAGACCCAAGAGAACATTTTGATTGGGTTCTTTCCATCTGCCATTCCCATTACCTAGCCGAACCATCATTGGATGCAGGCCTCTTTTATCATTTCATCCCTCCAACGACCGACTAAGTATGTCTTCTTGAGTCCGATTTCCAAGAGACAAACACTTCAGCATGCATAATATCGAGACGGGTACGGCGCCGTCAGACGCACTGCCTCCAGTGGTAGCAGGCGTCCTCGACGACAAAAAGGATACGGTGCATTCAACTTCAAGCAAGGATGATGCGCCTACTCCCGAAACCAAGATCAAGCCCGAAAGGGAACCTACATTCAAGGACTACTTGCGCGTGTTCACGTACGCAACGAAATGGGATATTTTCGCCTACTTTGCAGCTGGCATCGCCTCCATCGCCGCCGGTACCACGTTGCCATTGATGAACAGTAAGGAAACAGAAGCTTGTCCGTAACGACTGACCATCTGACTTACATGCGCAGTCATCTTTGGCCAACTCGTTAACCAATTCAACGGATTCACTTCTGGAGACGGCTCAGTATCTCCAGACGATTTCAAGAAGATTGCCGACAAACAAGCCCTTTACCTCTTCATTCTCTTCCTGGCTCGATTCGCCCTCAACTATGTCAACAAGTTTGCGTTTAGGATGATTGGCATCCGGCTGTCTTCTGCTATTCGTTTGCACTATCTCCAACGTCTTTTCGGCCAGACCATCCACGTACTCGATTCGATGCCAGCTGGAGCCGCTGCCGGCACCATCACATCGACCGCAAATACGCTCCAGATTGGTATTTCGGAAAAGCTCGGCGTCTTCCTCGAGTTCAACGGCACAATTTGGACTGCCATCATTGTGGCTTTCACTTACAATTGGTCCCTGACTCTTGTGACGGCGTCAGTGATTCTCTTTATCCTCCTGGTCTTGGGCGTTTTGTTGCCTTTCATCATCAAGGGCCACAGTCAAGTGACACGGGCGGAAGGCAAAGCTTCTGCTGTTGCTAGTGAGGCGTTTTCTAGCATTCGTATGGTCGCTGCCTGTGGGGCGGAAGATCGCATCGCTGCTCGGTATGCTCGTTGGGTCAACGTTGCTCGTCAGAAGGGCCAGGCCACGGCGCCTTTGATGGCTCTACAGTTCGGCATGATCGTAAGTCCACACCCTCTTCCGTGGTCTAGAGCGGTAATTCGTTCTAACCTATTGTAGTTCTTCGCTCTCTTCGGTACTTTCGGACTGGCATTCTGGTACGGCACACACTCTTGGGTTGACGGAAGAGTTGACAATGTCGGCGAAGTCATCATGTAAGAAAAGCCGAGCCACATAAACCCTTGAATCACGACCTAACCTACGAGACAGTGTCCTCATGTCAGTCATGCTTACTGTCATGTCACTCGAGCGTATTAGCACTCCTTTGCTCGCCATCAGCAAGGCAATGGTCGCGGCATGCGAGTTCTTGACCGTCATTGATGCTCCTCGTCCAAAGACGGGGGAGCTGAAGGAGCCTGAAGTATCCGCCAACAAGAACATCGAATTTAAAGGAGTCACCTTTGCATATCCCAGCCGGCCACACGTCAAAGTTCTTGACGATCTGGACCTGACTATCGAGGCGGGCAAGGTCACGGCTATTGTTGGCCCCTCAGGATCCGGCAAGAGCACAATTGTAGGCCTGATTGAACGATGGTATACCCTACAAGACCAGTACATCATCGCCAAGACGATTGAGAAGGATAAGATGAAGGAAGCGCAGAAGAAGAAGAAGAAGAAGAGCAAGAAGAACGCAGCGGATGACTCTGACGATGAGGAAAAGCCAGAGCCCGAGGAAACCGGACCCTCCGTAGAGCTCAAAGGCTCTGTTTCTACTTCCGGCCATGCTCTCGACGACATCGACCTCAAATGGTGGCGGTCGCAGATTGGTCTTGTTCAACAAGAGCCTTTCCTTTTCAACGATACCATCTTCAAGAATGTTGCCTACGGATTGATTGGTTCACAGTGGGAAGACGAATCCGAGGATAAGAAGAGAGCTCTTGTCAAGGAAGCTTGCCAGGAATCATTCGCTGACGAATTCATCGATCGTCTACCGGATGTAAGCATTCACCCAGTCTTGTTCCCGCAAACACAAACTAATCGTGAGCCTCTAGGGTTATGACACTTTTGTTGGCGACAGTGGCGCAAAGCTTTCCGGCGGACAGCGTCAGCGCATCGCCATTGCCCGAAGCATCGTCAGAAAGCCAAAGATCGTGATCCTAGATGAAGCCACCAGCGCCATCGATGTGCGCGGCGAGAGAATCGTCCAAGCTGCTCTCGACAAGGTCTCCCAGAACCGTACGACAATCACCATCGCCCATCGACTTTCCACCATCAAAAAGGCCGATCGAATCATTGTTCTGAAGAAGGGCAAGGTGGTTGAACAAGGCACCCACGAGAGCCTCTTAGAGGACGACGAGGGTGTTTACTACGGACTGGTTCATGCCCAACAACTATCCCTCGGAGACCAAACGGAGGCCAGCGATGACGAAAACCCGAAAGAGGAAGACCTTGGCGAGTATCTTGGCCGAGAGAAGAGCGCCGCAATGTCCGAGGCAAGCGGTACACGCCAAAAGTCCGAGGCTGTGAATCGCAACCTTTTCCAGAGTTTTGGTCGGTTGCTGTACGAGCAACAGAGCCGTTGGTATCTCTGCATCCTCACAGTCGTCTTCGCGGCGTGTGCTGCGGCTGGTACTCCGTTGCAAGCATACCTCTTTGCCAAAGTCATTGTGGTGTTCAACCCCCTGAACTCACCTGACAAGATCCGAAGCGACAGCAACTTCTGGTCACTCATGTGGGCGGTGCTTGCTATCGGTATTGGTCTGTCGTACTTTTTCATGGGATTCGTGGCAACACATCTGGCGGCCATCATCTGCGCAGTCTACAGGCAGCAGTATTTCGAGGCCATCCTTTTCCAGAAGACCTCATTCTACGACGAGGAGGAGAACGCTCACGGCAGTCTCACAGCTCGTGTGGCTGGAGATCCTAAGCAATTGGAGGAGCTACTTGGCCTCAATATGGCCATGGTATACACGGCAATCTTCAATGTCATTGGTGCCATCTCTATTGCGTTTGCTTTTGGTTGGAAACTGGCGCTGGTCGCTCTCTGCGTCACGATGCCCATTGGTCTCATATCAGGATACCTCCGCTTCAAGTACGAGATCGAATTCGACAAGATGAACGCCGCGGTCTTTGCAGAGAGCTCCAAATTCGCCGCCGAGTCCATCGGAGCATTCAGAACCGTCTCAGCCTTGACACTGGAGGACATGACTTGCTTACGGTACGAAAACCTGCTTAAGGGCCACGTCAGCCATGCGTTCAAGAAGGCTCGGTGGACGAGCGCAGTCTTTGGTTTCTCAGACTCCGTGTCCATGGCCTGCCAGGCTCTTATCTTTTGGTATGGTAGTCGACTCCTGGCGTCCGGGGAGTATCAAGCACAGGCTTTCTTCGTCTGCTTCATGGCCGTGATCCAAGGCGCAGAAGCCGCCGGACAAGGCCTCAGCTTCGGTCCCAACGCAGCCCAGGTCACGGGCGCCTCGAACCGCATCATCAACATGCGCGAGTCCCGGAACCAGGACCTCATCCCTGCGACCGAGAGGATCCCCGACGCGGAGGGCGGCGTCAAGATCGAGCTGCGCGACGTGCACTTCAAGTACCCGACCCGCGACGTCTCCGTCTTCAAGGGCCTCAACCTGACCATCGAAAAGGGCCAGTTCGCCGCGCTGGTCGGCGCCTCCGGCTGCGGCAAGACGAGCATCGTCTCTCTCATGGAGCGCTTCTACGACGTGCAAAAGGGCGCAATCCTCTGCAACGGCAAAAACATCAACGACATCAACGTCTACGAGTACCGCAAGCAGCTCTCCCTCGTCGCCCAGGAGGCCACACTCTTCCAGGGCACCCTCCGGGAGAACATTCTCCTAGGCGTGGAAGACGGCACCGTGACGGACGAGCAGCTGCACCAGGTCTGCCGCGACGCCTCGATCCACGAGTTCATCGCGTCTCTCCCCGAGGGGTACAATACCGATATCGGCAGCAAGGGCGTCTCCCTATCTGGCGGACAGAAGCAGCGCGTGGCGATTGCCCGCGCCCTCATCAGGAACCCCAACATTCTCCTCCTCGACGAGGCGACGAGCTCTCTCGACTCCGAGTCGGAGAAGCTGGTCCAGGCCGCCTTTGAGAGGGCAGGACAGGGGCGTACCATGGTCGTCGTCGCACATCGTCTCGCGACGGTGCAGAATGCCGACGTCATTTTTGTTCTGGGCGAGGGCAAGTTGTTGGAAAAGGGCAGCCATAATGAGCTGTTGAAGAAGAAGGGTGTGTATTGGCACATGGTAAGTTTTCATCGCTCCCCAGCCAGCAACAGAGGGACAGAAAGTTTTACTTACTTATTTTGCGTAGTGTCACAGCCAAGCACTCGACCGATAGATTGTCGACGGATGTATGGCTTCTCGTTGTGCAGAATGGAGGAGTATGAGTATTGCATGATAGGTAGAATAGCTTTGGAAGCTAGAAGGATGGAGTTTTCTCTTCTCTGCAGAGCATGGTGTACATTACTAGAGAACTACACTCCAAGATTCGTAATACATGGAAATCAACATACATTGTCTCTTGATGTGACAGCTCAAGTACAGGCTTGCTGTCATCTCCCTGATGGACAATTATCTTGGATATTGTACGTGGTCCAGTGTTGTCTGGAGCATTGAAGGAGAAGTGTACTCGGATATTCCTCGTTAACGGAGTGGCATCTGTACGCGATGGAACATGCCCAGGGACCATCAAAGATGAGACAGAAAAATATCGAATCTTGTGATGATTCGTGTGGTTTTACAGGAATTCACTACGCTTTGAGGAGTTGGTCCCAGACTCTTTTCTTATTCAGAGCCCATAAGCTCTCCATGCTGTCCAACGATGCGATATCCTACTTGAACCTCGACTCCCTCTCACTTGGAAGATGAAGGCTTCACATCCCCCATCCCAACGCCATAATCCTCCTTCAACACCTCCCCGCCAACCTCGAGCGGCTCCGCCTCCTGCAGCACATACAACATCCGCCCCCACTCCGTCTCGCTCACGTTCTTCCAAGCGTGCATCGTGCCCCTCTGCACACTCACATCCCCCCTCCGCATCCTCCTCGTCTCGCCCGAATCCAGCACCAGATCGATCTCGCCCTCCAGCACGACGCCGTAATCGAGGCTGACGGTCCGGTGCATGGGGCTCAGCGACCCGGGGGCCATGTCGACGATGCGCACGACGCTGCCGCCGGGGATCACGATGCCGGGCGGGTTCGACAGGCGCGCGGCGTAGGCGGCCACGTCTGCGTTTTGGGTCAGGGTGACGGGGGTCTGTTCTGTGGTGTAGCCGAGGTAGAATTTGGCGCCGCCGCCGACGGTCTGTTGCGGGATTTCGGTGGCGATGGTGGTGTTGAAGATTGCTTTGCCCGTGGAGGGGTCGTGGTCTGTTATGAAGCGGTGGGGGCGGCGGAGGTCGGCTGGGGTGGTGGTTTGGGATGCCATTGTTGGGAGTATGCGAGTGTTGCTGTTTGTCTTGTTCAATATAGTTTTGGTACGAGAAGATGGCGGGTTTTTTGCGGTGTCTAGTTGTCTATGTATGGTGTACGTTCTGCTCTCTATAGAGACGTGAAAAGTATAAATAGTCTATGCGGACGTTGAGGGGAGAGCTATGTGATGAAGAAAGTTGAGACGAGCAAGCTTTCAAGAAGAAGGATGGGCGGTCTTCTACTCCCCTCGAATTAAAGAACCATTTGAGCTTACAAATGAAAGCTGCAAAGTATACTCTGTAACATCCCGTTTAATCATCCCTTTCCCCGCCATCCCACCCCCTCTCCCCTCCTCGACACCATGTTTGAAAGTAGTTGCCGTGTCGGCATTCCGACGTCGTACGGGCTTTGAGCTTTGCCAGCTTCTCTCATCCCAGCCGGAGGCGCGTAGGCGGAAAGTGGAGGTGGGGCCGGGGCGTACAGAGGAGGTGGGTTGTGCGGGGACGGGGTGGGAGGATAGACAGCTTCGGCGGACGCTATGAAACTGTATTTTCTTTACACGTGTTGGAGTTTGTACGCTATGCATCTGAGGCAAAACAAGGCTACAGAAAGCTGGGGTAGAAGGTTTGCTCTCTGCACCATGATCTCTGGCATGTTCATTTACCATCGTTCAATCGTTGACACCATCTCAAGGAAGGTTCCTATGCATCGTTGATCTGGCATCTTGGGTTCGGGCTCACGGACGGCTGTAAGAGCCGGGTATATATGGGGAGGGAGCTTAGGGAAGACAACGTAGAATAACTCAATTTCAGAAGGTCGAGAGGAAGATAGACAGTGTATGATTTTTGGAAGTGAGATTGCAGAACAGATGCCCATGGTCTCGTCTTCACCTGGGGTACTTTCAAACTTCCAGGTTGTCACGAGTTTTGGTTAACGGAGTACGATGTTGGGTATTTACCAAGCCTAAAGCCTGGATGCCACTATTGGGAAAAATTATACACAATGCCTCCATCATGAAAATCCTTGGATCTGATGATTTAACAATTTCTTCCCCTCGCCCCTAGAACTCTAAAACTATCGCCCCTACTCTATCCTCCGAGCCGCAGAAACATTCGGCACGCCCGTCCCCTCAACAACTTTAGCGCTCACAACCTCATAGATGGGCATCTCAGCCAAGAACTTGGCAACGTGATGCAGCGTCGGCAGCTTCTCCCAGTCAAGACCGTCCATCTTGACCGAGACGTCCGCCGCAGAGGCCCTAGACACGGCGTGCACTGTGGCCGGAACGTCCTTGGCCTCCTCCTCGTGCGGCACCACGCACGCGTACTCGGCGTCGGCCTTGCCCGGCTGCCCGACCGAGGGGATATACCGGTACGTCAGGATCCCGTAGTCCGCCTCGCCGCCGATGGTGCCGTGCTCCGTCTCGGGTTCGTCGCGGCGCAGGTTCTTTAACGAAATGTCGGCAAAGGTGGCGCCCCGCCACGAGGCGCGGACGCGCGCCGCCGTGGCATGGTGCTCGAGGTCAATGTCGCAAAACAGCTTGGGCATGCCGAGCTCCTCACGGCCGGAGACAATGGGGTCCGTCAGGGACTCGAAGAGCACAGAGAGATGGGTGCCGTTGATGGCGGTGCCGTCGCGCTTGACGTACTCGATGCCGTGGATGTACAGGCCCAGGTGGTTGTAGCCGCCGCCGCCGAGCCAGGACATGTTGTTGAGCTGGGTGACGGAGAGCGAGACGGCGCAGACGGTACCGGGTTCCTTGAAGCGGAACGAGTCCGTGGGGAGGATGGTCTCGAGTAGCGTGCGCGACGTGAGGAACTTGACCGACATTGTCTTGAAGGTGCGCTCGAGCTCGGACGGCTGTCGGCGGCCGAAAAAGTCTTGTCGGGGACCCGGGAAGGGACCGAAGCCGATGGGCATGCGCCAATACATGTCTTGCTTCTTGGACCGGAGGTACTTGTTGAAGATCTTTGTCGCGTGGTCGTGCTCGTCGTGGCCAAAGTTGTAATTTGTGTAGTTCATCACTGTTTTTCGTCGTGTCAGTTGGTTTGCCAGCGGTGTGTGTGTGTGTGTGTGTGTGTGTGTGAGAGAGAGAGAGAGAGAGAGAGAGAGAGAGAAAAGAGGGCTTTCACGAACTTTGTATGGCAGGTGGTTGGCCTGGTATTCTGTCCTTGCCGGCTTGACGAGAGAACTCTTGGATCTTGTGCGCGCGCTCCATGCGGATCTTTTCGTACAGACGTAAACGTTCAGGGACTTCGTCGGGTGATGTTCCCTTGGGTAGAACGACTGCCAACGCTGCTCCGTCTTCCATGGCCTGACCTGCGCCTTGTCCCTGATCTACGGCACTGTTAGTATCTCTAGGTAGGAAGGTTTTTGGAACAAGACTTACGAGGTGTGAAAGGATGCGCGGCGTCTCCCAAAAGGGCGAGCTTGCCATTCACCCACGTCGGCATGGCCTCCATATCCAACAATTGCCAGACATTGACTTCATCGGGGTTGACCTTCTTCATCAGCTGTAACACAGCAGGATCAAAGTCTTTGTAAACCTTGAGTAGTTGTTCGATGGAACCCTTCTTGTTCCATTCTAATGCTTCGTCAGTCTTCTTGCCGTACGATGGGGCGTGAAAGAAACATACCGTCGCTGGCATTTGCTTGAGACTCAGTATCTGGGTGAATGCACACAAAGTTGAGGAGCTGGTTGTTGTTGCACGGGTAAATCACAATACGCCTGTCCGTACCAAACCAGATACCCAGTGAGTTCTCCCTGTCGACCAAAGGCGCAGTGACGGGGTCCTCAAGCGCGGCGGCGCGGGGGATAAGGAAGCGGAACGCCGCCTTACCCGAGCGGAACAGCTTGTAGTCGGTGCCGGTCACGAACCTCCTGACCTTGGACTATGTGGAATGTCAGCATCACCAGCTTTACTACACCTCTGCTACTCGTCGACATACGTAAATACCATCGGCACCAAGAATGACATCCGCCTGAACAGTCGTCCCGTCTTCCAGCGACAACTCGCCCTTCTCGGGGTCCGCGCCGACGACCTTTGACGCGACATGAAGCTTGGCCGGCGTGGTGACCCCTCCGTCCTCGGCCGTGGCGACGTTGCGGATCTCGTTGTGAAGGTAGGCGCGGTGAACGAGCTGCCAGGGGTGCTGCCATTGGCCCTGGGACTTTGTAATGTCCACGTCGAAGCCGCCTTGGTTGTTCAGGTCTCTCTCCTTGAAGTGGTGCGAAGGGTTGGCGCCGAATGTCTCGGCGTAGATGCCCCATCTCCGCAGCAGACCGTTGGAGTTGGGTGCCAGGTGTACGGCGGCACCGGTCTCGTTGGCGAGTCTAGACTGCTCGTAAAGCTACGATTGAAAGCGTGAGTACGAAGAGTAGCACAAAGGGGATGAGTGTGATGAGGCTACGGGGGGCTTCCTACGTCAACTTGGTGACCTTGCCGGCGCAGTGCGATAGCTGTGCTTAAACCACCAATGCCGGCGCCCACAATGGCAATTTTGAGTGGTCGGGGATACTCGTGGACCATCGGACTTGAGTACACGCCGTTGGGGCGCTGAGCCTCTCCGTTGACCAACATAATGCCAAAACTGGATCTATGTGCAGAAGGGAAAAGAGGGTGCGTTGTTCTGTGGTCAGATTGTGAAACAGCACCTTTGCTCGACTCGCAGTTATTTATGGATGAGGAAATTGTTTAGGAATGTCGGAGCTGCGGGTAATGTGAGGGAAGAAAAGTAAGAGAGAGAGGCGTCGAGATGTGAGAGAAAAAGGCCGAAACGATGTGTTATGAGAAAAAAAGAGACGAGATATAACCGATGCTTGACTGGGGAACAATTAACAGCGTAGGACTTACACTCCCTATCATCTCAAACGCTTCCCGCCCCGGACTTCGACGCTACGCCACCGCGTCGATCGTCGGTCTGCTGTGCTCGACAGCTCGGCCCCTCCCTCCCTTGTCTCCATTGCAACCACCATCAAAACTGCCAACGCAACCCCGGACTTTTGCAAACCGCCGAGCTTTCACAGGGCGGAACGGGAATTGGATGGAACTAGTGCAGGCCATCATGCCCCTTTCCTCACCAGAACAAAAGCCATGCCGAAAAGTGACCACTGGCTGGGCGGATAGCTCCTCCCCATCATTCTCCCCCGCATTTTCTGCCGGCGGGCGGGAAGACCGGAACCATGGCGGGGGAGGGGACAAGATATACGCGGGACGTCGTTTAGCCTCATCATTCATACTATGTCATCACCTAGTAACCCTGTCCCTTCCAGCTGTGTCCATTTGCCATGATAGCAAAAGAAACATCCTTCCCGAGCAACTCTCTGAACAGACTTGAAATTAATCAACAGCTGAGCTTATGCACAAGGTCTCAGTGGTATGCCAGCTTCGAGTAGTCCCCCTCCTCTCATTCACAGGAACTTGCAAGGGAAGGTGCCAGTCGTCGTTATTAAAAGGTTGCAATGACCATTTTCAACGCGAACTAGAAACCGAATGGCTTGTCGTATAGACAAACTTTCTCGGTAGGGATGTGTCGGGGAGTAATTCCGGTCAAGGAGGGGGGGAAGCGAGCAAAAGATCGGCTCAGGTGGGGGTGGGTCCGTTGGCTTTCTTGCTGCTACTGCTGCTGATGCTGTAACTCGTAATTTACCACAACTTCCTACACCAATATGTCTGCCATCGAGGAGATACATCCAAGTGACATTGAGTCAAAGTCATAGCATAGTTGCCTGTGTAACTGATGCATCTGCCGCATATAGTACCGGCAGGGCCTTTGTTTGTCCCAGGTCCAGTGCCATTTCTGATGCAATGGACCAATTCCTACTTGTCCATCGCACTCTGTAGCTGCTCTTGTTACGAATATTGCAATACATAGGATGAGTTAAACTCAACTCATTGGGCATATCAATCCGACTAAAAATCTTCCCAGGCCTCACCTTGTTCTAATCCATCCCATCGGATCTCGCCCACGGTAAACGGAACAACAAGACCAAAAACCTACTGCTCGCGCGAACCCACATGGAACCCTCGGCACCCGCGTAAGGTGCTTCTACCGTAATTATTTACCCCGCCCTTTTCTTCGGCTCCTTGGTGTGCATGCCGGCCCCAATCTGGTCCCGACCTTACCCCGCCCCGACACCGGAATTCCGATACAAAGCTCCGGAGTTCCTTACAACACAAAGCTCATCGGGACCGAACAAGGCCGCTCTCACTGGCACACTCACATCGCACTCACCACCCTTTACTTTTGCCGATCGAAAACATCCAGCAGGAACAGGGGGAAAAGAAAGGAAAAGGAAAAGAGAAACTCTCAAAGAAACCATGTCTCCAATCCCAACCGCCCTCATCACAGCAGGCAGCGCAGGCCTCGGCGCCGCAACAGCCAAACTATTCGCCCGGAACGGCTACAGCGTCGTCATAAACTACGCAAACAACAGTGACCGCGCCGAAGCTCTGGTAAAGGAACTCGAGTCCCTCTCATCCGCAGCCTCCTCCTCCTCCTCCTCCTCCTCCACAGAAGGGAGTCAAAGGCAGCACTTCCACGCCATCAAAGCAGACCTCACCTCCCGCACCGAAACAGCCGCCCTCGTCAAAAGCGCAGCCGACGCCCTGGGCGGCCGTCTCGACGTCCTCTTCTCAAACGGCGGCTGGACGAGACTCCGCAACATCGCGGACCTCGACGACAACGTCGACGAGGACGACTGGGACCGCTGCTTCAACATGAATGTAAAATCCCACCTGTTCCTCATGCACGCCGCGCGGCCGTACCTCGACGAGGCCGAGGGCGCCTTCATCACGACGGCGTCGCTGGCTGGTGTTAAAGTCAGCGGGAGTTCACTGGTAAGTTTTACTTTTTTTTTGTCTCCCAATCTCATGATTCTCATCAAGCCCCTCCACCCTTTGCCTTCATTTTGCCCAATATTGTATGGACTCAGTAAGCAAGTAAGGCAAGGCAGATTCTCTAACACGATATGCAAAAACGTAGGCCTACGCCGTGACGAAAGCAGCCCAGATCCACCTCGTAAAAGGCCTCGCATTAGCAGCGAGCCCAAGAATAAGAGTAAACAGCGTCTCTCCAGGCCTCATGTTGACGGTATGTTACACAATCCGCCGCCTCTTCCCGTCTCCCTTTCCCTTCCCTATCACCCTACCCTCATACCTTACCTTATTTCTGCCCCCCCCCCCCCTTGTCTATCCCATCCGACGACATCCATATCACGGCAAGAAACATCCGTATAAGACAACAATCAAGCTCACTGCATATGCGTCTCGTTCCGCGTATACAGGAATGGGGCCTCCAGTTCCCGCAAGAGAAACAACAGGCCGCCCGGGACAGGACGCCGCTCAAGCGCCTCGCCACGGTCGACGACGTGGCCGACCAGGTGCTGTGCTTCGCCAGGAGCAGGAGCGTCACCGGCGCTAACGCCGTCATTGACGGGGGGCTCAGTATTTGAGAGCGAGCGAGCGAGCGAGAAGGGGTTTACGGTCCATGGATATCTGGACGGAATAAGAGTGTGGGATGCTCTACGTATAAGAGAGAGGAGGAGGAGGAGGAGGAGAGAGGGACAGAGAGAGAAAGCCTAAGACAGAGAGCCTGGCACATACGGATACATGGGCACGGATAGCCCACCCCGTCACCCGTGAAAGCCAGCCACGCAAGAACTAGGTAGGGATGATGATAAACTTTTACTCATCAGTGACTCAGGGTCCAAAAGGGCAGAAAAAACCACCACCTTGGCTGGGCTGCTAAGCCTGCTAGGTTAGACGTGAGCCACTGAGCAAGTTATTTCCAAGGAAACATAAGGAAAATATGATCAAAATCTGTATGAAATGGCCTGTTCAAGGGGTCTAGGAACGGGGCTGTTGCGAGCTGCCCAGAGCTGAGATTGGGCGAGAGATGTTTGTTAATCCGTCTGCGGTCTTGCCCCCACCCCGCTGCCTGGCATTGGTGTCGGGAAGGGGGTCCCTCCCACTCCCACATCCCGAAGGGCCAAGGTGGGCTGGGCACGCCCTGGGCTTGCGTATTGGCGCAACGAATGGGGGGAGGCCAAAGCAAGACCAGGAGGAATTAGAAAAAAGAGAAGGAAAAGGAAACTTTAAAGCTTTGCCAAACCGCTGTTTTGCTGTGCACTTCTCTCCCGTCATATTATAAAAACTCAATTCTTATAAGTACCGAAACGCCTTGCTATACGTGTGCTGCCGTGGGAAAAAAGGTATCGGTGTGGGATGGTACAAGAAAACGACAACTTCATCCGGTCTCTTCTCTTTCTCTCTTCCACTCTCTCTTTTCATCTTTTCTTATTCCCCTACCTCCCTGTCTTCGTTCCAATGGATATACCGGATGATCGGCCACTTCCACGACTCGTGTCGTATCGCCTTGCCCCAGACGAATAACGGCACCCACAGGACCAAGACGGCAGATGCGATTCCCGCCATGGCCCCAAAGGCATTGTCGTACCCTGCCTTTTCGACCCAGGTATTGGTGTAGAAGGACAACAGGAAGCCGAAGAGCGCTACAACAAAGGACCAACGTCAGCTTCCACATGCCGGACAAATACGGATGCTGGGACGAAGAAGGGATGCCAAGAGACGGACGCCCACTTACACTTGAAGCCCATGACTGCCAGGGTGATTTCGCCGGCGACGGGACGGTAGGCATCAATCACGTACACGAGACAGATATTCGTTCCCTGGGAGATGGAAAAGGTAACTGTAGATGGGATGATCAGAAACACCGTCGTTTCGACAAAAGAGCATGGAGGTGTGTGAGACGGGGTAGGAGGGGAGAGGAGGGGGGAAGGCAACGTACGAAGTCCAAGACCGATGGTGGGACAGATCCAGTGCAGCTGGCTATCGATTCCGACGCCGTAGAGGACGAGGGCCAAGGGCGTCGTGACCATACTGATGGCCATGCCAGGAAGTCGCATCTCCGGATCCCGCATCCCGCCGTTTCGTCTGGTAAACCAATCCGCAATCATGTCACCAAGATGCCCGCCTGCCGGGATACCGAGTAGCGCACCGAGGATGCCGGCAATGAAGCAGAGGCCAATCTGCCACGAATCGAATCCGTAGGCGGTGTAGAAGGCGGAACCGGCGTTGGAGGACACAGCGACGAGGAAACCGACCGTCACGGCCTGCACCAGCGCCGCCCAGAGGACCGGCGGCAACAGGATCAGGCCCAGGGGCCGCAGCGCGAGCTTCAGAAGGCTCTCTTGCGTCAGCGTCCTGTTGAAGATTTTCAGCGAAGAAAGGTATGATTGCTTTGAGCGTCTTGTCGTCGTCGAAGCTTCTAGCGGGCGAGCGGGCAGCTCGCCTTCCGACCTCATCGACCCGGGTTTGCTCCCGTCTATCGAACCCAGGCGGTTCCAGGCGCTCGCTTCGTCTCTCTCGTAGGCGGTCTCGGGGAAGGTGAAGAATGCCAGTAGGAGCACAACGCCGATCAAAGCGGCAGAAACTTGGTAGATGACTCTCCAGTTATGGTTGATGGTGATCAGACTGCCAGAACACACGACGGTTAGAGAGATTTCCTGCACGCTCTGGGACGCTTTTCCCCCCACCACTTACCCTGAAATAACCACACCAAAGCCTACGCCCGCAGAAAGGAATGCGGTATAGAGTCTGTATCACTAACGTTAGCGGTCTGCCAACCCGCTTCTCTGCCCGAACAAGCACTCACGCCATGATGGTTCCTCTTTCGTGCAGAAAGAAGACGTCAGCGATGGAAATAGGCGCAATCGTCTCTGCGGCTCCAGCGCCAAATCCCATCAGGATCCGGCCGGCCAAGAAGCCACCGTACGAGTGGTCAAAGATGAGCCATATCGTGCATGCAAAGTAGATGGAGTAGCTCGCAACGTAGACTGGCCGCCGGCCAAACTTGTTGGCGAGCGGCACCCAGAAGAAGTTGCCCACCCCCTGGAGCAGGGCGGTCGTCGTGAAGAAGTAGGCAGTCCTGGCGATCGCGAGACTGAGAACATCAGTATCGGTGGCGGCCGCGGGGAAGAACTCCAAGGCTGTATCCAGCAACGCGATCGAGGGTCCTGCAACGACATCCGTTAGCCAGTAGTCTTTTAAGGTACTTTGGAAATGATGGGATCCGAGCATACCCGCTGCCAGAAAGTTACACATCATCATGGCGAAGCAGATCAACCCCGCCATGTAGTACTTGTACCATTGTGGCCTAAGCGAGTCAGCTGAAAATCCCTGGCTTCTTTTGACGATCTAGGTCGCCAATCCAGTGCCTACCAGTTTAAGGGGTCGTTTGGATCTGCTGATGGCGTTGGGATCAATATGATCTCGTTGGTCTCTGGATGCCTTAACCGAACGTTTCCCAACGTCCTTGCCCGCGTTGTTTCCTCCGCTACATGTCTTGTGTTGCTACCCATTACTGGATTTGTGACGAAAGCCCACCCGTGTTCTGACGATTCTGACGATTCTGACGATTCTGACGATGCAGTTTGTCTGCCCTCGGCTCGGGATCTCTGGACGGTTATGGGGCTCTTTCTCCAGAGGGAGTCTTCTAGAGAGGTCACGGCGCACCTTTTTGCAAGCCGGGTGAACGGAGTCGTCTGGAATTCCGTTCCAAGAAATCGGGGAGTAATGAGAAGCGGCCACTTCCCCTGCCTGAAAAAAAAGACGAGCCAGATCGATGAAACGGTCGAGTCCAGGCGTATCTGCCGCGTCGATCGTTCAACGTGGTTGCATCAATAGGGAGGTATAGGCGGGCGCGGACGTGGTTCACTGCTACTACTACCTAGCACTTTGCAGAGAGAAGAGAGACGGCAGAAAGTTTAAGCTTTACTGTCTCGGTAGCCCGTCGTTGATTGGATTCTGTGGGGAAACATGGGGCTTCTTTTTTAACAATGTCAAACACAAATGATTCGTCGGTATGATCTGTGAAAAGTTGGAAAAGAAGGGATGACCAGTAGAGAGTCGCCGCAGACGAGGAACGAAGAACAATAGCGGGGGAACAGCAAGTCGCGAACGAGTTTGAAGGGTGACTGATGCAAAGCCTGGACCTGACGTCGCAGTTCTCTCGAGAACGACAACAACTACCTTCCTGTAGTCTGTGTGTACGGAGACACTCACTACCTAGTACCCGGTGATACCTTGGAGAGGCCGACGCGTGGAGTCGTAGTGATGGATGGTGCGTGAGGGCTGCCAGGAACACTGGATGGCACATCCCAAGAGCCAAAGGACGGACGGGGATAGGCGACGGGCCTAAGCAGGAGATTATCAGGCCCCAACCCTGCTCACCGAATTTGAGCACTAGGGTAAATGAGGACAGACTTGGCAACGCAGAGGAATGGGAACAGACAAGGATTTAGCCGCAGCGGCCACTGTCTTATCCGCGACTAAGGGGTATTCGATTTCAAGGGGCCAAGTTCCACCAACAAGCCTTTTGCCAAGCCTTTGGACATGGGCGACCGAAACATGACCAGAGGAAAACCAATTGGTGGGTTCTAGCAGGAACGCTAGTGAAGGAGCCAACGAGGGAGTGAAAAAAAGGGACAGATGACAGATGCGACAACCTCCGAGATGAGACGTACGCAAGTGTCCGTCTTTGCATACTTTGTTCACACGGAGTCTGACGAGACTGAGCCTGACAGAGAAGAGAGACGGAGATAAGGTGACAAGCAGGCAAGCAGGGAAGACCTCGAAAGTCGAGACATGTTCGTCCTGCGCGCTTGCGAACAGACGTCACACAGCAAAGGTGCTTGATGATGCTGATCATCTTGACTGGGAATCATGGACTACATGGAAGTCTACAATGCAGTCCAGCCGACTTCCGCCCCGCCCGCCCGCCACCATCGCACGCGTAAGATCAGTTGTAAAAAGGCTTCCCGTCCTTGAACAGGTCCAAGCCTTGCTGGAAAGAGCCTCAAAGAGAGGAGAAGAGTTTGTGCCGCATGAACTAAGCATAGGGCCCAAAGTGCCGTTTTCGGCCATCAGCTCCGGGTCATGGTCCACGGTGTGCCAGTCTTACGTGGTGAGAAAGTGTGGCTGGTGCTTAATATGGGGTTGAAAAAGTAAAAAAGAGGTAGTTGTCGGCTAGTGTGCCAGAGACGGCGGAGAGACCCTGGCATGCCGCATGTCTCGTCTAGGAGACGCGCAACGCGCTCCCCACGCAATATCTGTGAAGGGATATGTTGCCGTGGACACTAGACAACCGTCAGTAAACACTCCATAGTAATGCTTCTCGACCGTGGAGGCCGAGCAAAAGAAAAGGCTCTGGAGGCCGCTCATGTGGTTCTTGACGGATCCCGCCAGCCTCGCTTGCGGGCAGTGCACTGCATATGCATCTACGACGCTCGGAGAGTGCCGTTCCTGGAATGTGTCAACGACATGCAGAGCCGTTATCTCTTCGTTCGTGGGCCGAGGTCGACAAGGCGGGCTTGAATGATCTTAGAGTCCCAGTCTCCAGAGACGTCGGATGTGAGGGCCGAGGCGGATAGGCGAGAGTTGGCCAGTTGAGCGGTATACAACTATGGGCCTCAGAGGTGTGGACTTGCACGCGCCAGTCGCTCCGTGATGCCTCATTCTTCTCTTCCTCCACACGGCTGTACCTACTGTGTAAGGTAGGCGATGAACACAATTTCATAGGCTCGTGTTCTAGTGATTAGAGTAAGGAGTGTTTCAACATGACGTTTCTCCCATTTGACTTACAACAAATAGAGTAAGGGCATGGGCATCGTCGGTTGAAGTTTACCATGTTTCCATCTTTGGGCCCCGGTCGTTGGCGCCGGCGGGTTAAAAGTTGAAACAACGTGAACTCGTCATGGCCCTATAGGTGATGGAGCAATGTGAATAAGGACGCGTTTGCTTTTGTTCAGCTTGCCCCAGATGCCCCGTCAGGTAAGGCAGAATTCAAGCTTCATACCACGGGTCCATCGACGGTCAAGATATTAGGGTTGCCGGGATATGTTTGACGAGGCTTAACGGGAGGGGAGGGGCAGGCAGGCTTTCGTCATCCTGCGACTGGCAGGCCGCAGAAGCAGCAAACACACCAGACACGGCGGGCTGTCATCTGAAGTTGAGAGTGTCTGGAGTAGTGCGCGCCAATGAGTGGACGAGTTGATGATAGTCGAGACCAAGAGCAGAAGAAGAAGTGTGGTCAAATTCCGCCCGCAGTGTTGGCGCAAGTGGAGGAGACGACGTGGAATCAGAGATGCAGCAATCAGATGCAGGGTGAGAGAGGATGGTGTGGGGCCTCTCCGCCGACATGAATACGTATCTACTCTACTGTCCACGGTACCTACCTCAGGTACCTACCTACCTTACCACCTCCCGTCAGAAAGGCACCTTCTCAGCGTGCGCTAGTGGGTGTACGTACTCAAGCCACTATAATGGAGATGGTGTACTTAACCTTACTAAGGTCTAGCTAGCGCAGACAAGTACCGCGGCGCTAAACGCCCCAAGACACTCCGAAGTGGACGACCTAACAGAAAGGCAGGGTACCTTGGACTTGTGTCTAGTGCCACAACCCAAGATAATTTTGAGCGACGTGCCACCATGCTTTTGGTCGAGGAATTGCGTGGTGCGTAATTGCTATGGTGAAGGGTTCCATTATCAAAATTACTGGGGGAAATCTATCAATAGAGGATGAGTGAGCTCTCCACCCCTGAGCGGGTCTCCATCGGGGAGAACCATGGCACCAAGCCCTTTCGGGACAACCGGGCAGGCTCAGGGATGGCACGGATATTAGGGCCTACGTAACGCTCTTGTTCAATCCCGTGCCGATGTTTTCTACGCAGCACCTCACGCAGTACGCAGCACTTCCACACACATCTGCAGCTGTGCAGCGCAGCGCCGCACCTCACTGCAGACTTCAGGGACTTGCACTACACCCCTTGGGCCCCTGCCCTGCCCTGCTTTGCCCATCAGATGAATCAGACAAGACGGAAGGCAGGACAGCCAGTGAGTTCCTTCCCTTCTATTGTGCATCCCATTCCCATGAGGTAGGTAGGTACCTTCCATATTGCAATGGTCCAATCAACGTCTTCGGGGAATCTCCAAATAACGCCCAAAGTCCAGACGCCTTGTTCTTGGGAAGACATGCCATCTGCATCCCTTCTGCATCTTCTGTTTTCATCGACCGCCGGAATCCCACCTGACGTACGGAGTACTCAACATGTCTCTTCCCTCCACTTGGGCCTTGGCACCGGGCTCTGGAGTCTGCACGACTGACGAGCACCATCCTGACACCTGTACCTCTCTGAACTCCGCGTCTAGAGTCCCTTGGGAGTCTGGTCACTGGCCACTGATGTTCTCTCATGGGGAACTGCTGGGGCCGCTACGGGGATCCCTGGACCGCCGACTCCCCGATGGCTACTTTGTATGCTACACCATTCCGCTCATCGCGTGCACAACATTTCCAACTTTTCAAGTATCCAAGTACCTCGACGAGAACATCAATAAGGACCAAAAGGTATCTGTACCTTGTCTGCGGATACTAACCGCAGTCGCAGCATTTTCTTGCGCCAGCTCCTGCGCCTGGCAAGTCATCATCCATCCCATCACGCTGCACCAAGCTGCATCTGCAGGGCTCTGCTTCTCCGTCCACTGCGAGCGGAGAGGAAGTTTCCGCCGCTCGATTCCTCACTCCACTCGTCAATTTGCTTTTCCTGGTCAAGACGCATCCTCATGGAGACATGCGATCTCATCTTGTGCGGCGGTGAATCCGGTCCATCCCGTCAAGTCAGTTGTCACTGTGAATAGGCAAAAAGACCACCGCAGTCTTGTCTGGCCAAGCCGGCAAGGCATTTCGTCACGTTCGTCACGAGTCATAACCTTTTTGGCCAGCGTTTGAGCCGACCCGATCGGCAGCGCAAATCGATGACTCGCCCCTACCAAGATCTTGGACATCGATTGCCTTTCAGCAAAAAAGGGACAGCCGGAATGCTCCGAATAAGGCCGCCCACGAGGTCCAGAGATGGATAAAGAGACCAGGACTAGAAATGGCAATGCAGCATACGGATATCATGCTTTCTGCCCGTCTCAAACCAATTCGCATCGGGACTTTGGTCAACGGGGGTCATGGCCAGCATTGGCAACATGTCCATTGACTGTTTCGAGCGATTGCCAGGATGTCCGATTGCTTCCATATGAATGGCTCCATCGGCTCACCTACGTTATCCACTAGACGGGCTGACTTTGTC